ACAACCTATGCTGGAGAGGTTGTGGAGCAAGGGGTACACTCATCCATTGCTGGTGGGAATGCAAACTTGTGCAACCACTTTGGAAAGCAGTGTGGCGGTTTCTCAGAAAACTGGGAATCAACCTACCTCAGGATCCAGCAATACCACTCTTGGGAATATTTCCAAGAGATGCCCTATCATACTACAATTGCATTTGTTCAACTATGTTCATAGCAGCATTGTTAATAATAGCCAGAACCATGAAACAACCTAGATGCCTCTCAATGGAAGAATAGACAAAGAATGTGTGAAACAAATACACATTACAGTACTACTCAGAAGCTAATTAATAAGGTGAACCCAAAGAAAAACATATATAGATCCTCCTGGAAATTGGAAGCAGGCAGGATCGCAAGGAAAAAGTTGGTAGCATGGGTTTTGGGTGGGATGGGGAAAAGGGGAGGGGAGAGAAAGGAAAAGGAGAGGGTTGGGGAGAACTTGTGGGAGTCGGATGGTTGAGATGGAGGAAAGGCAGATATGGGAGCAGGGAAGAAGATATCTTAATTAAAGGAGCCATTTGAGGGTTGGCAAGAGGCTTGGCTCTAGAGGGGTTCCCAGGTGTCCACAGGGATGTCCCCAGCTAGGACCCTGGGCGGTAAAAAAGATGGTTCCTCTACTGGCCTTGTCTCATAGTCAGACTAATGAGTATCGTGAATATCACCATAGAACCTTTGTCCGGCGACAGATGGAGATAGAGACAGAGACCCCCATACGAGCACTGAACTGAGCTCCCAAGGTCCAGTCGAAGAGCAGAAGGAGGGAGAATATGAGCAAGGAAGTTAGGACCACGAAGGGTTGGTCCACCCAGTGAGACAGTGTGCCTGAGCTAATGGGAGCTCACCAAATCCAGCTGGACGACCATGGCTCATACTGGACCCTCTGAATGTGTCTGACAATTGGGGCAGTCTGAGAATCCAATGATAATGCCACTGGGATTTCTCTCTCCTGCATGTACTGGCTTTTTGGTATCCTATTCTATTTGGATGCATACCTTCCTAAGACTGGATGGAGGGGGGAGGGTCTTGGACTTCCCACAGGGCAGGGTACCCTGTCCTCTCTTTGGACTGGAGAGGGTTGGGGGGAGGTGAGTTGAAGAGCCGGAGGGAAGTGGGAGGAGGGGAGGAAGTGGAAATTTTGAATGGTAATATTTATAAAGTAATAAAAAATAAATAAAAAAGAAAGAAATACGCTTTCCTCAGACCTTGCCAAGTGAAGCATGATACAGCAATGTACATTTAAAAACAGTTTTCTGAGAAGAACCATTTAGTAGGTAACTCAATTACAACACTGTTACTGTACATAAACATACTGAACTGTACTGAAGGGGAAAAGCAGACACCCTCACATGTGCACTCACTTCCTGTTACAAAAGTACAGGGAGAATACTTTGGAGAGCAACAATCAGAACTGTCTTTAGACCCTAAGTGATCTGCAAGCATGGCTCCCATGTCCTGCACACTGTTGGTAAGAGTGTGACAGAGAAGCCAGTAAGAAAAAAACATTTTTAAAAAAATCAACTAAGGCAGATTACAAATGATTTCCTTTCACAAAAGAATTTAAAATGTCTCCTACATCTGTTTAAAAAACAAGGTCAACTACAAGGTGCTACTGCATTCTAGCAAACTGTTAGAAATGGCCTTTAATAGTCATTTGCAACATTGAACTCTTTATCATGAGTACTTGGAGAACCAACTTAAAATCATAGAAGCAGGTGGTTAAATACAAAATATGCTAAATGTTAACCCTTCATAAATATAAGACATTGACAAAAGCAGAGAATATTGGGCACAGAAATAATGATTTTCCAGGAGGAAAAAAAAAAGCATTGCTTAAGATAACAGAGCTAAGCATATTCCTACCTGGGATGGATTCTGATAATCATGTCTCTAAAGACTGAGTATCTCTTGGCACATTTCCTTATCAATTGGACAATCACCTGTTTTAACACTAGCGTGTGAGCCTCCTCCCTCTCCCCAATGCCACCTCCATTAACATAGTGGAGCAACTATCATCTTCTTTTCAGGGAAAAAGTTCCAATTTCCCAACACAGCTCTCTTCAGAGTTACTGCAAATAGCCTGCCGTTTCTTAAATTGTTCAACTTGGTTTTCAGCACTAAAATATCTCAACATTGTAAGCTGCATGGAATAAAAACAAAGCACTGCAAACCTTCACACTAGTAAGCGGATTAAAAAAATTTGAAATCTTTAAGGAAAATCAGGCTTTAGTACTTTCCCCTATGCTTTGAACAATGGAATCTCCCAACATTATTACTGCATAAAGTTCAAAGTAAGCCTTAAAGACAGAACCTTTTTGTGTAATAAAGAAAAGGTGCAAAAAAATACAAAATGAAATGTAAAGTCTTTTGCAAGAATAGGTGTTTGGACACTGGTGAGAAAAAAAGATTTTCATTCTTCATTGTACACCTGACACCTATACGAACAACCTTATCATTAACATCTGCAAGACTAGTAATATATAATATTTATGGACTTGGTAAAATGAAATCAACTCCCACTAAAAATACTTGTATTCATTCTACAGAACCCAAGAGATAGGAATCCTATTCGAAAGGGTCCACATGCACGTCAAACATGTGCATTCTACTGAAGTCTAGAAATGGGAAGATAGATTTCAAGTGTCTCTGAAGAGATTCAACATCTGCATTCACAACCAGAATCCTGCATGAGTCACCTCTGACTTCAGTACTTTTTGCAAACGAGTAATATGATTGGGGAGTTCAGGGAGGTATCTGCTGTCAGTAACTTCATGTTTAGAATGTGCTGCAGCTGTTTTTGAGCTATAGAAAATGAACACCCCTAACACGGAACATTTTTATCAAGAGGAAAATGGATTTGTTTTTAGTTAATCAGGACTATCCTGCGGATCTGAAAACCATAGAAAGGTGACAAGGAGGCTCACAAATATAAAGGAATCCTGACTTTTACATGGACAATTCTTTTAAAAAGATAAAAATGTATTACATAAGCGCCATAAACAGTGAAATCTGCTTATATTAAAACAAATAAGTGAAGCTTTGTTTGGACATTATTTCCTTGCAAGAGCAGTACATATCCTTTGTAAACAACTACCATATTTACAATTTCATTTCCTTGACACTTAGGTAGGACTGAGAGGCAGAGGAAAACTTGAAAGAATGAACTTTGAAATAATCTGTACTGCTAAGGTGGTATCAGTGAGGGTAAGCAGATTTGGGTAAAATAGTTTCTAGAATCTCTGACAAATCTGTGTAGTTAGCTCATTTGGTGAAAGGCCAGGGATGTGCCTGCTCAGTCCTTCTTCTCTTCCGGCCTGGCAGCTTTCTCTAGGGAACCAGCCAGGATCATCTTAACCCCAATCAGCCTCAAAAGAAAAACTAGGCAACAGTACTGGGGTTATCACAATCGAGTGTTATCACTAAAAAAAAAAAAAAAACAATAAAGTACGTGTTCATAGATGTGAGCCGGCCATCTCATTTACAAATATGGGCAACACAACTAGAATTTGAATTTCAAATAACCCAACATGCTTCACTTTCAATAAAAAATAATCTCCTAATTTATGAATATGTCATTTAAATGTGGCTTGTTAGATATGCTAGATATAGCAATGAAATATCGACAAGTGTGCACTAGTACCTTACATAAAATCTCGAAAACAAGCAAATCCGAGACTTTTGCAAAAGCACACCCATCTGTATCAACTGAAATCCCTACCTTAGAATTGGTTTAGAAGTCTCTTTCCTCCACCTTTTGTTTTAGAAGAGCCGATTGTAAAAACACCAATTTAACTTGTGCTAAGTGGTAGTTGTGTGCTTATTTTAAACCAAAGACAGCTCTGCCACATTTGATGATCTTCTGCTTCGTCTATTTAAGTCGAATAGCCACAGCAGCTGTCACTGTAGGAAACCAGTTCAAGTCCATATCACTGTCATCATGAAAACGGTCCATTCTCCAGAGCAGTGTTCTTACCCTCTATCACTTCCTGCCTAAATCCAAGTTAAAATCCATGATTTCCATTGGGTTTTAGTGCAGTGTGATTCTACATGGTCATTTCCTTTCCATGTCACAGTAGCTGTTCACAAATACATTCAATATAGTTATGTTCTGCTCTTGACATCTACACACTTACAAAAGCAGCTTCGAACTTTGATTGGTGTGTTTGTTTTACTATGCTGGCTTACAAAAAGCAGTTCTCATTTCTAAGCATGGTACTTTACAATTTTGAATGCATTACAACATTACATTGGAAAACTACTGAGCCTCTAAAAAAAGCTTTATATTTTTAAACAAATGAATTATTTTTTTTTTACTTACACAAGCATAGGTTTTTTTAGTACTTCCACAAGATAAATATCTCAATTAAACTTTAAGTTTACTCTATTCTGTGCCACATTGATGGGCTTAGGACAGTTAATACACGTAGAAGATCCTAACTGTTTAATGTTATTTACACTGATATGTCCATCATCACCTAATCTGGAAGGTGAACAAACAATATTCAGAATGTGACTGAATTTGTGTCAACAACTGGGAATGGTACAGTTTTAATTAATCACTTACAAAACACATAATGGAACTTAGTTGAGTGGGAATTTTCTTTATTCCCCTCTTATGGTCTGGAAAACCTAAAAAGAGGTCAAGATGATAAAGGAGCCACTGATAAGGCAGACCTTACGGTAGGTAACAAAGGGAAAATGACAAGTGTACATGGGTAAATTATCAGTAACAGGTTAGCAATAATCTGCTACTGAAATCAAACACTGAAGTACTAAAACGTCGCTTCTGAAATATTCTTTCTATCCTGAAAGAGAAACTAGAGAATAGAAAAGAAACTCAAAGCAATGATTCGATTCAGGTTGTGACTTTATATTTAAGCACCACTCAAAAAATTGACATAAAACAAGTGATTTCCATTTCCCCATCACTATTCCAGCTACACAGCTTCGACAGTAATGCTCTCATTACAAAACACTTTCAAGGTTCCCAAAAGATAAGACTTCCCTGCGACAAAGGGGACAGGTGGAATTCTCCAATAGCCAGCTGTCGATGCAGTAGATGTGGTATTCATGGGAGCAGGGTAGCTTACGAAGTTTGTCGCCTTCCGTATATTCTCTAATACAAACACTACATGTCTTCAAGGCATCACTTTCATTAAAACTTCTCATTGTCAAATTATCAATCTGTTCTATGGTGAGTCCTCTACGTTGTTCGTCATTCTCATCAAAGAAGATAAACCGAGCCAGACCAAAAAATGATGAAGAGCCATTCTCATCAATGATACCTGGAGCCCTACGTCGGCCCGTTCTCCTGGCACCTGGTGCGAAAATTCGGGTTCCTTCATTCCTGCCGTCAAACATGACTGACATACTTCCTGAAATTTGACCATTGGAACTGGAGCCAGGACTGGAGCTGGAGCCAGAACCAGAACGGTTACCACCAGAGCTCCTTCTTCCATTCTGTGTTTCTATTCTTGCCAGCTCACTGAAACCTGTCATTATCTGCCTTAACATGGTTCGAATCTGAACAGATGTAGTCTCAGTTGATCCATTATTTAAGATTCTACCAATGGGAATCCTGCTAGTACGCACATAGGTTCTCACACCTGCACCTACACGTCCAGAACCTATAAAGGTGTGCCTAAAACCACGTTCACTATGATAAGATATTGTGTTGTTTGGGATCTGAGACCTTGACCAAGACCGAGTTCTGCTAGCTATGCTATCACTCGGTGGGTATTCTCTCAGACGAATTCTTCTGACTTGAAGGACGATGGTTGGAGGTCTTTGACCAGATCTTGCAGCTTCACCAGTGGTACCTGTGTCCGAAGAACTTGCCCCTTGAGTGGCAGTTCTCGACACAGAAGATGCAAGAAGACCTCTACCTAGTCCACTCATCGGCTGTCTCAAAATTACATGGGTAAGTGTTCTAGAACGTCCCTCAATCTCGTTTACTAAAGGGTGTTCAAAAGTCTGAGATGAGATGCTATGATGAGATCTTTGTGGAATGTCATTTGCTGGGTGCAAAGGAGACCTACTTCTGTAAGATCTGGCTCTGGTTCTCCTGTGTTCTGGGTTCCGGCTTCTTGCCCTCCTTTGACCTCTGGTGGATGGCACTTCAGTAAATTCTTCAGAAGTGCGTTCTGACCCAGATGGTCCGGCAGATGATGTCACTGAATAGTTTTGTCCTGTATAAAACAAAGAAGGGGGAGAAGGAGAGAAAGAGACTACAATAATTAGGATAATCACATAAATAAATTAAAGAATTTTGCAATACTGAATGAATTTTATACTCATAGATCTTATGCTGTATACAACATTGATTTCTAAGTGAAAACCAAAAAAAAAAAATGTCACCACACCATGAGTAAATTCTAGAAGAAGCTACAAGACTGTGAGAAGGCTACATGTTTTTTCTAGTCTATTGTCTAAACAAAATCAAATGACACAATTGCTAGTTGTGGGGACTAGTGTTTGTATTTTCATTCCAATTATATTTCTACCAAATTCAGTCTCTATTACTTCATCTAGGCGCCTAGCTTAATTGCCTTTGAAAATATGAAGTTGCTTTAAAATACAAGAATTTTGTAGTCATAGTAAACATATAAACAAGGAAAATGGTTTACAACTACTTGAATATTTGTCAATATCAAGATTTTAAAATACCATGAAAATGAAGATCATACGAAATGAATAGCCTGAACCTGAAGTAACAGCATATCAAGCAGTGTTTTTACGAACTAATGTACCATCACCAGCTCCTAGCTTATGGTCATTCTCTGTTTCCTGCAGAGAGGGAGGCACCAGTCCTGAGCTTAGAGCCAGCTTGCTTACTTAGCAGCAGCACTGACCCTCTGAGCCATTTAATGCTGGGAACTGTGCTGTGTTTGGTAGATCATCAGAATGGCTGGCAGTATAGTTGCCTTCTGCCTGCTAGATACTAAGAACAAACCCTCATCAGTTGTGTCAACCAGTGTCTGGAGTCGTTGCTAATCCCCCCATGTGGAATAAAATTACACCCAGTTTGAAGGCACAAGGCCAGGCAAAGCAGTGTTTCCTTTTTGCTGACGAAGCCATACATACCAATATGTTCTTTGGTGAGTCCTCTACGTTGTTCGTCATTCTCATTTAAAAAGAAAACCCAAGACAGACCACAAAATGATGAAGAGCCATTCTGATCAATGATAACTGGGGACCTACATCGGCCCTCTCTCCTGGCACCTGGTGTGAGAATTCGAGTTGCTTCATTCCTGCCTTCAAACATGGCTGACCTACTTCCTGAACTTTGACCATTGGAACTGGAGTCAGGACTGGAGCTGGAGCCAGAACCAGAACGGTAACCACCAGAGCTCTCTCTTCCATTCTGTTTTTCTATTCTAGCCAGCTTAATAATACCTGTCATTATCTGCCTTAACATAGTTCGAATCTGAACAGATGTAGTCTCAGTTGATCCATTATTTCAGATTCTACCAATGGGAATCCTGCTAGTACGTACATTGGTTCTCACACCTGCACCTACACGCTCAGAACATATAAAGGTGTGCCTAAAACCACGTTCACTATGATAAGAGATTATGTTGTTTGGGATCTGAGACCTTGACCGAGACCGAGTTCTGCTAGCTATGCTATCTCTCGGTGGGTATTCTCTCAGACGAATTCTGACTTGAAGGACGATGGTTGGAGGTCTTTGACAAGATATTGCAGATTCACCAGTGGTACCTGTGTCCGAAGAACTTGCCCCTTGAGTGGCAGTTCTCGACGCAGAAGATGCAAGAAGACCTGTACCTATTCCACTCATCGGCTGTCTCAAAATTACATGGGTACGTGTTCTAGAACGTCCCTCAATCTCGTTTACTAAAGGGTGTTCAAAAGTATGAGATGAGATGCTATGATGAGATCTTTGTGGAATGTCATTTGCTGGGTGCACAGGAGACATACTTCTGTAAGATCTGGCTCTGGTTCTCCTGTGTTCTGGGTTCCGGCTTCTTGCCCTCCTCTGACCTCTTGTGGATGGCACTTCAGTAAATTCTTCAGAAGTGCATTCTGACCCAGATGGTCCGGCAGATGATGTCACTGAAGAGTTTTGTCCTGTATAAAACAAAGAAGGGGGAGAAGGAGAGAAAGAGACTACAATAATTAGGATAATCACATAAATAAATTAAAGAATTTTGCAATACTGAATGAATTTTACACTCATAGACCTTATGCTGTATACAACATTGATTTCTAAGTGAAAACCAAAAAAAAAAAGTCACCACACCATGAGTAACTTCTAGAAGAAGCTACAAGACTGTGAGAAGGCTACATGTTTTTTCTAGTCTATTGTCTAAACAAAATCAAATGACACAATTGCTAGTTGTGGGGACTAGAGTTTGTATTTTCGTTCCAATTATATTCTACCAAATTCAGTCTCTATTACTTCATCTAGGCGCCTAGCTTAAGTGCCTTTGAAAATATGAAGTTGCTTTAAAATACAAGAATTTTGTAGTCATAATAAACATATAAACAAGGGTAAGGGTTTACAACTACTTGAAAAATTGTCAATATAAAGATTTTAAAATACCACGAAAATGAAGATCATACGAAATGAATAGCCTGAACCTGGAGTAACAGCATATCAAGCAGTGTGTTTACGAAGTAATGTACCAGCACCAGCTCCTAGGTTATGGTCAATCTCTGTTTTCTGCAGAGAGGGAGGCACCAGTCCTGAGCTTAGAGCCAGCTTGCTTACTTAGCAGCAGCACTGACCCTCTGAGCCATTTAATGCTGGGAACTGTGCTGTGTTTGGTAGATCATCAGAATGGCTGGCAGTATAGTTGCCTTCTGCCTGCTAGATACTAAGAACAAACCCTCATCAGTTGTGTCAACCAGTGTCTGCAGCCGTTGCTAATCCCCCCATGTGGAACAAAATTACACCCAGTTTGAAGGCACAAGGGCAGGCAAAGCAGTGTTTCCTTTTTGCTAACCAAGCCATACTTATCAATATGTTCTTTGGTGAGTCCTCTACGTTGTTCGTCGTTCTCATTAAAGAAGATACCCCAAGAAAGACTAAAAAATGACGAAGAGCCATTCTCATCAATGATAACTGGGGCCCTATGTCAGCCCGCTCTCCTGGCACCTGGTTTGAGAATTCGGGTTCCTTCATTCCTGCCTTCAAACATGGCTGACCTACTTCCTGAACTTTGATCATTGGTACTGGAGCCAGGACTGGAGCTGGAGCCAGAACCGGAACTGTTACCACCAGAGCTCTCTCTTTCAATCTCTGTTTCTTTTCTAGCCAGCTCACTTATACCTGTCATTATCTGCCTTAACATGGTTCAAATGTGAACAGATGTAGTGTCAGTTGATCCATTATTTCAGATTCTGCGAATGGGAATCCTGCTAGTGCGCTCATAGGTTCTCACAGCTGCACCTACACTCCCAGAACGTATAAAGGTGTGCCTAAAACCACGTTCACTGTGATAAGAGATTATGTTGTTTGGGATCTGAGACCTTGACCGAGACCGAGTTCTGCTAGCTATGCTATCTCTCGGTGGGTATTCTCTCAGACGAATTCTTCTGACTAGAAGGACGATGGTTGGAGGTCTTTGACCAGATCTTGCAGCTTCACCAGTGGAACGTGTGTCCGAAGAAATTGCCCCTTGAGTGGCAGTTCTCGACGCAGAAGATGCAAGAAGACCTCTACCTAGTCCACTTATTGGTTGTCTCAAAATTACATGGGTAAGTCTTCTAGAACACCCCTCAATCTCGTTTACTAAAGGGTGTTCAAAAGTCTGAGATGAGATGCTATGATGAGATCTTTGTGGAATGTCATTTGCTGGGTGCACAGGAGACCTACTTCTGTAAGATCTGGCTCTGGTTCTCCTGTGTTCTGGGTTCCGGCTTCTTGCCCTCCTCTGACCTCTGGTGGGTGGCACTTCAGTAAATTCTTCAGAAGTGCGTTCTGACCCAGATGGTCCGGCAGATGATGTCACTGAAGAGTTTCGTCCTGTATAAAACAAAGAAGGGGGAGAAGTAGAGAAAGGGACTACAATTATTAGGATAATCATATAAATAAATTACCGAATTTTGCAATTATGAATGAATTTTACATTCACGTATCTTATGTTGTATACAACACTGATTTCTAAGTGAAAACCAAAAAAAAAGTCACCACACCATGAGAAACTTCTAGAAGAAGCTACAAGACTGTGAGAAGGCTACATGTTTTTTCTAGCCTATTGTCTAAACAAAATCAAATGACACAATTGCTTGTTGTGGTGACTAGAGTTTGTATTTTCGTTCCAATTATATTTCTACCAAATTCAGTCTCTATTACTTCATCCAGGCGCCTAGCTTAAGTGCCTTTGAAAATATGAAGTTGCTTTAAAATACAAGAATTTTGTAGTCATAGTAAACATATAAACAAGGCAAATCGTTTAAAATACTTGAATATTTTTCAATATCAAGATTTTAAAATACCACGAAAATGAAGATCATATGAAATGAATAGCCTGAACCTGGAGTAACATCATATCAAGCAGTGTTTTTACGAACTAGTATACCAGCACCAGCTCCTAGGTTATGGTCAATCTCTGTTTCCTGCAGAGAGGGAGGCACCAGTCCTGAGCTTAGAGCCAGCTTGCTTACTTAGCAGCAGCACTGACCCTCTGAGCCATTTAATGCTGGGAACTGTGCTGTGTTTGGTAGATCATCAGAATGGGTGGAGTATAGTTGCCTTCTGCCTGCTAGATACTAAGAACAAACCCTCATCAGTTGTGTCAACCAGTGTCTGGAGTCGTTGCTAATCCCCCCATGTGGAAGAAAATTACACCCAGTTTGAAGGCACAAGGGCAGGCAAAGCAGTGTTTCCTTTTTGCTGACGAAGCTATACTTGTCAATCTGTTCTTTGGCGATTCCTCTACATTGGTCGCCATTCTCATTTAAGAAGAAAACCCAAGACAGACTAAAAAACGACAAAGAGCCATTCTGATCAATGATAACTGGGGCCCTTGTAGGCCCGCTCTCCTGGCTCCTGGTGCGAAAATTCGGGTTCCTTCATTCCTGCCTTCAAACATGGCTGACCTACTTCCTTAACTTTGACCATTGGAACTGGAGTCAGGACTGGAGCTGGGGCAGGAACCAGAACGGTTACCACCAGAGCTCCTTCTTCCACTCTGTGTTTCTATTCTTGCCAGATCACTAAAACCTGTCATTATCTGCCTTAACATGGTTTGAATGTGAAAAGATGTAGTGTCAGTTGATCCATTATTTCAGATTCTACCAATGGGAATCCTGCTAGTACGCACATAGGTTCTCACACCTGCACCTACATGCTCAGAACGTATAAAGGTGTGCCTAAAACCATGTTCATTATGATACGAGATTATGTTGTTTGGGATCTGAGACCTTGACCGAGACCGAGTTCTGCTAGCTATGCTATCTCTCGGTGGGTATTCTCGCAGACGAATTCTGGCTTGAAGGACGATGGTTGGAGGTCTTTGACGAGATATTGCAGATTCACCAGTGGTACCTGTGTCCGAAGAACTTGCCCCTTGAGTGGCAGTTCTCGACGCAGAAGATGCAAGAAGACCTCTACCTAGTCCACTTATTGGTTGTCTCAAAATTACATGGGTACGTGTTCTAGAACGTCCCTCAATCTCGTTTACTAAAGGGTGTTCAAAAGTATGAGATGAGATGCTATGATGAGATCTTTGTGGAATGTCATTTGCTGGGTGCACAGGAGACCTACTTCTGTAAGATCTGGCTCTGGTTCTCCTGTGTTCTGGGTTCCGGCTTCTTGCCCTCCTCTGACCTATGGTGGATGGCACTTCAGTAAATTCTTCAGAAGTGCGTTCTGAGCCAGATGGTCCGGCAGATGATGTCACTGAAGAGTTTCGTCCTGTATAAAATAAAGAAGGGGGAGAAGTAGAGAAAGGGACTACAATAATTAGGATAATCACATAAATAAATTAAAGAATTTTGCAATTCTGAATGAATTTTACATTCATAGATCTTATGCTGTATACAACACTGATTTCTATGTGAAAAGCAAAAAAAAAAAAGTCACCACACCATGAGTAACTTCTAGAAGAAGCTACAAGACTGTGAGAAGTCTACATGTTTTTTCTTGTCTATTGTCTAAACAAAATCACATGGCACAATTGCTAGTTGTGGGGACTAGTGTTTGTATTTTCATTCCAATTATATTTCTACCAAATTCAGTCTCTATTACTTCATCTAGGCGCCTAGCTTAATTGCCTTTGAAAATATGAAGTTGTTTAAAATACAAGAAGTTTGTCGTCATAGTAAACATATAAACAAGGGTAAGGGTTTACAACTACTTGAATATTTGTCAATATCAAGATTTTAACGGAGCACGAGCAAGGAACTCAGGACCACGAGGGGTGCACCCACACACTAAGACAATATGGATGTTCTATTGGGATCTCACCAAGGCCAGCTGGCCTAGGTCTGAAAAAGCATGGGATAAATCCGGACTAGCTGAACATAGCGGACAATGAGGAATACTGAGAATTCAAGAACAATTGCAGTGGGTTTTTGATCCTACTGCACGTACTGGCTTTGTGGGAGCCTAGGCAGTTTGAATGCTCACCTTACGAGACCTGGATAGAGGTGGGCAGTCCTTGGGCTTCCCACAGGTCAGGGAACCCTGATTGCTCTTTGGGCTGATGAGGGAGGGGGACTTAATTGGGGGAGGGGGAGGGAAATGGGAAGCGGTTGTGGGGACGAGGCAGAAATCCTTAATAAATAAATAAATTAAAAAAATAAAAATAAAAAAAAAGATTTTAAAATACCATGAAAATGAAGATCATACGAAATGAATAGCCTGAACCTGGAGTAACAGCATACCCAGCAGTGTGTTTATGAACTAATGTACCAGCACCAGCTCCTAGGTTATGATCAATCTCTGTTTCCTGCAGAGAGGGAGGCACCAGTCCTGAGCTTAGAGCCAGCTTGCTTACTTAGCAGCAGCACTGACCCTCTGAGCCATTTAATGCTGGGAACTGTGCTGTGTTTGGTAGATCATCAGAATGGCTGGCAGTATAGTTGCCTTCTGCCTGCTAGATACTAAGAACAAACCCTCATCAGTTGTGTCAACCAGTGTCTGCAGTCGTTGCTAATGCCCCCATGTGGAACAAAATTACACCCAGTTTGAAGGAACAAGGGCAGGCAAAGCAGTGTTTCCTTTTTGCTGAGGAAGCCATACATATCAATATGTTCTTTGGCGAGTCCTCTATGTTGGTAGTCGTTCTCATTTAAGAATAAAACCCAAGACAGACTACAAAATGACGAAGAGCCATTCTGATCAATGATAACCGGGGCCCTTTGTAGGCCCTCTCTCCTGGCACCTGGTGCGAGAATTCGGGTTCCTTCATTCCTGCCTTCAAACATGGCTGACCTACTTCCTGAACTTTGACCATTGGAACTGGAGCCAGGACTGGAGCTGGAGCCAGAAACAGAGTGGTTACCACCAGAGCCCTTCTTCCACTCTGTGATTCTATTCTTTCCAGCCCACTAAAATCTGTAATTATCTGCCTTAACATGGTTCGAATCTGAACAGATGTAGTGTCAGTTGATCCATTATTTCAGATTCTACCAATGGGAATCCTGCTAGTACGCACATAGGTTCTCACATCTGCACCTACACGCTCAGAACGTATAAAGGTGTGCCTTAAACCACGTTCACTATGATAAGAGATTATGTTGTTTGGGATCTGAGACCTTGACCAAGACCGAGTTCCGCAAGCTATGCTATCTCTTGGTTGGTATTCTCTCAGACGAATTCTGACTTGATAGACGATGGTTGGAGGTTTTTGACCAGATCTTGCAGCTTCACCAGTGGTACCTGTGTCTGAAGAACTTGCCCCTTGAGTGGCAGTTCTCGACGCAAAAGATGCAAGAAGACCTCTACCTAGTCCACTCATCTTCTGTCTCAAAATTACATGGGTAAGTGTTCTAGAACGTCCCTCAATCTCGTTTACTAAAGGGTGTTCAAAAGTCTGAGATGAGATGCTATGATGAGATCTTTGTGGAATGTCATTTGCTGGGTGCACAGGAGACCTACTTCTGTAAGGTCTGGCTCTGGTTCTCCTGTGTTCTGGGTTCCGGCTTCTTGCCCTCCTCTGACCTCTGGTGGATGGCACTTCGGTAAATCCTTCAGAATTGCGTTCTGACAAAAATGGTCCAGCAGATGATGTCACTGAAGAGTTTCGTCCTGTATAAAACAAAGAAGGGGGAGAAGGAGAGAAAGGGACTACAATAATTAGGACTATCATATAATTAAATTAAAGAATTTTGCAATTCTGAATGAATTTTACATTCATAGATCTTATGCTGTATACAACACTTATTTCTAAGTTAAAAGCAAAAAAAAAAAAAAGTCACCAAACCATGAGATACAGCGCTGTTCTAGAAGAAGCTACAAGACTGTGAGAGAAGCAGAGGCAGGCAGATCTCTGTGAGTTCAAGACCAGCCTGGTCTACAAGAGCTAGTTCCAGGACAGGCTCCAAAGCCACAGAGAAACCCTGTCTCGAAAAACCAAAAAAAAAAAAAAAAAAAAAAAAAAAGGCTGTGAGTAGGCTACATGTTTTTTCTAGTCTATTGTCTAAACAAAATCACATGACACAATTGCTAGTGGTCGGGACTAGTGTTTGTATTTTCATTCCAATTGTATTTCTACCAAATTCAGTCTCTATTACTTCATTTAGGGGCCTAGCTTAAGTGCCTTTGAAAATATGAAGTTGCTTTAAAATATAAGTATTTTGTAGTCATAGTAAACATATAAACAAGGCAAATCGTTTAAAATACTTGAATATTTTTCAATATCAAGATTTTAAAATACCACGAAAATGAAGATCATATGAAATGAATAGCCTGAACCTGGAGTAACATCATATCAAGCAGTGTTTTTACGAACTAGGGTACCAGCACCAGCTCCTAGGTTATGGTCAATCTCTGTTTCCTGCAGAGAGGGAGGCACCAGTCCTGAGCTTAGAGCCAGCTTGCTTACTTAGCAGCAGCACTGACCCTATGAGCCATTTAATG